TCAAAATACCCCTTAATAATGAAGACTACAAAACAATTACGATATATTAATACCATGGAATATCACGCAACTGTTAAAAAAATGAAGCCAAGAGCTATATAAACTGATTTTCTGATAACCAAGATATATTGTTAAGTAAGCAAAGTAATTTGCAGACCAATTTGTTTTAAGTAGTGTCAGGTTTCAGAAAAATGGTTTATAGCACAGAAAAGGGAATAGAACAATATTCACAAAAATACTTTAACCCTCAAAGGGAGGGCATTAAGATTGAAGACAAAAAATAAAGAACTCACAATTTTTATCTCAAAGCCATTGGGAATTAAATTCATGTATTATATATTTTCTTAACAAAAATGTAAAAACTGGAAGAATATATTCTAAAAGTACCAATAATTTATCTCTAGGGACTTAGCTTATATGTAGTTTTTATTTTCTAAATACTTTTTAATCCATTTGAAATTTTAAATAACTTCCTATTTCTTCAGTTTCAAATTTTGAACAATTTCCTATTTTTATTTTTTAAAGTTATTAATTTTTAACCACACAAGCAATATATTACTTCATTCAAAATGTAACATTCCTGGGTTCCTCAAAAAGTTAAACAGAATTACCAAATGATGCAGCAATTCCACTCCTAGGTGTGTACCTAAAGGAAGTGAAAGTGAAGACTCAAACAGACACTTGTATGCCAGTGTGCACTGCAGGGCTGTTCAAAACAGCCAAAAGGTGGAGAAAACCTCCATGCCCACCAACTGATGAATGATAAAAACACGTGGTACGTACAATAACAGAATATTATTCAGCCATAAAAAGAAATGAAGAACTAGCATATCCTACAACACGGATGAGCCTTGAAAACATGTTTAGTGAAAGAAGTCAGATACAAAAGGCCACATGCTGCATGATTCTACATGAAATATCCAGAACAGGCACCTCCATAGAGACAGAGAGCAGAGCAGTGGTTGCCAGAGATTGCTGGTGGGGTGGAGGTGGCGGGTGAGGGGAACGGACAGTGGCTGCTTAACAGGTAGAGGGCCTTTTACGGCAATGAAAACGTTCTGGAACTATGTAGTGGTGATGGCTGTACAACGCTGTGAATGTACTAAATGTCACTGGCGTGTATACGTTAAAATAGTTAAAATGGTGAATTTTATCTTATATGAATCAAAAAAGCAAAGTTCCTTTTAGGACTCCTGTAACCACTCAAACTCCAGTTGCCTTTACTATTATCAATTTGGTGTACATCTTACTAGATTTTTTCTTTAAATTTATAACATATATATTCGAGTATATATTAATATAATTTTTACACACAATTATCAGTGTTATTCTAACATGGAGATGCTTGTTACACTCAATATTATTTTATTCCATTAATTATTCAATATTTAGACATATTTCTATCTAATACATATAGTTCTATTTATTCTTTTAAGTGCTGCATCTATTCCACAATGCAATATAGTTGACCCTTGAACAACATGGGTCTGAAAAGGATAGGTCCGCTTAGACACGGATTTTTTCCAACCAAACATGGACTGAAAATACAGTGTTTGCAAGATGTGAAACCCAAGTATACAGAGGACAGACTTTTCATGTATGCGGGCTCCACAGGGCCACCGTGGGACTTCAGTATGTTCAAACTTTCGTATAGGTGGGGGTCCTGGAACCAATCCCCTGCATATAGCAAGGAACAACTCTGCACAGAACACAACGGTGTTTTTAGCTACTTCCTTCCTAATGATTATTTAGACTTTCAAACTATTTTCTATGACTCTTGTAATGAATGTTCTTGCATATGCTTCTTTGTGCCCATGTATGAGTAGACAACAAAAAGTAAAAGAGGTATATCACAGCACATGCACGTTTTAAACTTCGACGAAAATGCCAAATGGATCTCCAGATGGCTCTACCAATTTACACATGCGCTTGCAGTTCACCAAAGCACCTATTCCCAATCCCTCGCTGACATTAGATACTATTGCTTTTCTTCCCTGTGGCTTCATGTCATTTTGTGGAAAATCTTCCATTAGGAAAACATCTGGACTCTTGTCTTTTACTCACTCCTCCCCTTTGAGGAGGGTAAACATCTGACTAGCAGTGAGATTCATAGATTCATAATTCTCCATTGAGTAAAGTTAGTCTATCAAAGACTTAGGAATTTTATCAATCCCCCCATGACCCCTAAAATCATACTGTTGAATTTACTAACCATGTGAGTTTCCTCCTTTGTGAATAGTCTGCTCATATCCATTCCTCATTTCTCTCTTGGACTTTTGCCTTTTTCTTATTAATTTGCACAAGTTCTTTATGAAAAGTCTGGATATTAACTGTTAGGCCGCCACCTTTTAAAAAATTTTTCTTTAGGTCTTTAATCAATCTGGTATTGTTTTGTTGAATGACTTCAGAAATGCAAATCACTCTATTTTTTTCCAAATTGTGACTGATTTATCTCAATAGTATTTATTGCACAGATTACCTTATCCTGCTGATTAGAAATACCATCTTTATCATTTATTAAATTTCCATACACATGCATCAAATTCTAATTTTCTATTATTTCTGTAATACATGAAACATGGTTTAAAAAATGGAAGACACTGTCTCTCTAAGAACACCATGGA